ATGACTCTGTTTTTTACAGTTATCCTCCATAAGCTTGGTATCAGGGCTATTCATATGCTTGAAAAGTGCAACACAAATGACTCATAAAGCTCAAACTGTAACTAGCATCGCCACAAAGTGGAACGTTTGCGCATCTTTAGATACATTTGATGTTCTTGATGACGGAGAGACTCCTAAATGTCCAACGACCATACAACATTCCCAGATTTTATCGCGTCGTCGTAATGTTATCCAATCATCTGACGACGATGAAGAAGGAGAAGGAGATCACAATGATCTTGATATACATCCAATCTTTGCCCGCGCCATTTCTTCCCAGAAACGTCAAGCTCTAGGTAAATAAAATCTTGAATTAGACGATGATTCGAATAAATCTTTTTCGCTTCAACTAATTCGGTATCTCTCTTGTATATATATAGTGACCTATCTAGAGAACAACAGAGCAGGGATCACTGTTTATGGATTCTTGGTGGATAAAACATGGTTGCGTATGATCTTTAGCATCGAGCTTGCTCTTCTTCTATGGCTGCTCAAAAAGACAATTGGTAATGTTATATGTTTCTACTCTAAATCCATATTTTCTCCTCTTGATCATTCTCTTCTTGTACATAACCGAAAACATTCTCTTCTTGTACATAACCGAAAACATTCTCTTCGTGTTTTTTGGTTTTTGGCAGTGAACATAACATGAAAACGAAATCAGTGTCACACAACACACGACGAGATTAGTACCAAAGATGTTTTATTTCAACAATGGCGATATAACAGATTTTTTTTTGTAGATCGTCTATAGATACAAATATTCAGTGGGTATTTCCTTTTTTAGTTATATATATATATGTGTCCAGACTCCAGATCATGTTTATTGATTGTGTAAAAACTGATTTTTGAAAAATATGTTTGGTCTAATTGATGAATCCTAGTGAGAAATGTATGATTATGGTTTTGTGATCTTCTCGTAATTTGTGTGATACAACTTTAGGATAACACAAATTATTTAGGTATGCTGAGCTCAAATTTTGCAAAAGTGGCGGCTTTTATTCAAGTTTTCAAATTTAGAAAAAATAAAAGAAACAAAAAAAATATATATATATATATATATATATCTGCGAGTTTCGGATATCAAATCACAGCCGTTAATTGCTTTGCAAAAAATCTGATCTTCTTTAAACTGTAATAGGAAAAAAATCTAGTTAATTAGGCTAATTAGCTGTTAAATCCAACTTCACGTTGTTTAAAACTTCAGGAGTTACACAGCGTGTCGGGTTCTTAAACCGACGTCGTAATATAGTTCCCCCTTCCTCGACAAGCGCCAATCCCGTTAAAATCCTCTAGACGCTCTTCTCTCTCTCTAACTCAACTATTCAGTTTCAATTTCAAATTTCAGAAACCATTTTCTCTCTCTATCTCTCTTCTTCTTCATCTCTCAGTTATGGAGACGTCGTCGGCGATCTCGATCGGTACTTGTTTGAAAGAGCATCAGAAGATCTACAAGGACTGGTTCAACATCGCCGATTCAGGTTCTGTATTTTTTTTTCCCCCTTTTTCAGATTGAATTTACTAGTCCGTCGTGATTATTCTGTTCTGATTTTGTTTCGATTCGCTGAGATTTCAGATGGAGATGGTCGTGTTTCCGGTAACGATGCTACGAAGTTCTTCGCGATGTCAAAGCTTTCTCGCCAGGAACTTAAACAGGTTATTATTCTTATAATCGATGAATCGTGTAATATATAGGCTATTTGGTTTAAGATTGTACTCTCTGAGTTCATGAATCCATGGAAGTTGTAAGAACATGAAGTGTATAACCTAGGGTTGATTTGTATTAGTTGGATTTTGGTTTGAAAGGTTTGGGCAGTTGCGGATTCGAAGCGGCAAGGATTTCTCGGTTTATCGGAGTTCATCACTGCGATGAAGGTATAATTGTATCGGATATATATATGTTAATTTGAATTTTTTTGGTTGAATTTTCTTACTCATTGGACTGATTTTGTTGCTCAGCTCGTCTCCTTGGCACAAGAGGGACATGAAATTACTTCAGACCTTCTCAAAGGCTCAGGTAATTGGAAAATTACATCTTAAAATGTTTGAATCAATAAGTTCTGATGTAAGAGCTTGATGGTCAAAGACAGTAGCATTATTTGTTAGTAGATATAGCAATTAGGTTGGATTCTTTTATCAGAAATTGGCTAATCTCTATCATTTTTTTTTTTTTTTTTTTTTTTAAATTTTTTTTATTGTAGTTGATATGAAGAGTGTGGAACTTCCAGTGTTGGAAGGACTAGAAAACGTGGTATCTGTGAGACTCTTTCTTATCTCATTTTGTTTTTGAATCTTTACATGGTTTGGCTTTCCTAATCAAAGAATTGTCTTAAATATTTTCTTACAGAAGCTGAAAGTGGCAAAAACAAATGTGGATGTTGAAGAAAATGGTTGAACAACATTCTTTATTTTTACCAATTGATTCATTCATTATGTTTTTGTTATGTAAAAATTGTTGATTTGCTGGCTAAACTTGCAGTAGTTACCAAGCCACAAGTCACGGCAAAAGCTCCTTGGTTCAAATCAAAATCTATTATCAAGGTAGGATAATACTTGCTTTGTTGCTGCAATGTCCATCTTCTAGATATTTGTTGTCTGTTCTAACAAGTAATCTGCTACTTTGCATGTCCAGCCACAAGTGAATGTTGTGACAATTGTTGATGGCTTGAAAAGATTGTACACTGAAAAGCTAAAGCCTTTGGAAGTCACATATCGTTTCAATGATTTTGCATCCCCTGTACTGGTGAGTGAACTAATGTTATTCTTATTGTTTCAGAAACAGTTGTGTGGTTTTGTTTATTCTATTTTTTAGTTAAAGAGTTACATAACTTATATCTATATCACCATGGAAAATGATTCTCAGTTTGTTCTTTTTGTTTATTTGCAGACTAATAGTGATTTTGACGCCAAACCAATGGTAATGCTTTTGGGTCAGTATTCCACCGGAAAAACAACATTTATAAAACACTTGCTCGGATGTGATTACCCAGGTAACTTGCTCCATTTCATTAACTCTTGGCTATACAAGGAATCTTCAATTCTGTATGTTCACCGTTGCCATCTTGTTATCAGGAGCTCACATTGGTCCAGAGCCAACAACGGATAGATTTGTGGTTGCAATGGTAAGTTGATGCTTCTTGATTTTGTGAAAGGACTGCTAGTTACTTGTTGTATTCATTTAAGTTAATTCTTGTGATTTGATTTTCTTATAGAGTGGACCAGACGAACGCACCATACCTGGAAATACCATGGCTGTTCAAGCTGACATGCCATTTAATGGGCTAACAAGTTTTGGAGGTGCTTTCCTCTCAAAGTTCGAGTGTTCTCAAATGCCGCATCCGGTGAGTGATTAAGCATTACCTCACTGCCTATTCTTTATCTTTCCCTCTGTTGGTTTATACAAGCTTTGTCTTCCTGTTTCTGTTGTAGGTTTTGGACCAAATTACTCTTGTAGACACACCTGGGGTTCTTTCAGGAGAGAAGCAAAGGATGCAAAGGAGCTATGACTTCACTGGTGTCATCTCATGGTTTGCATCTAAATGTGATATGATTCTTCTTCTCTTTGATCCCCACAAGCTTGACATCAGCGATGAATTCAAACGTGTGATAACATCTCTACGTGGTAATGAAGACAAGATCCGTGTTGTCTTAAACAAAGCTGACCAAGTTGATACTCAACAAGTAAGTTTTGATTTCGTCTCATTCATTTGTTACGTTCATAAGCTTCATTTTTACTCATCATTGAGCCGCTTTTCCTAAAGCTAATGAGAGTGTATGGAGCATTGATGTGGTCGCTTGGTAAAGTCCTGAACACACCAGAGGTCGTACGTGTCTATATTGGGTATGTTTTTTCGAGTACAACATGAATTGTCAACAAAGAAGTTAGCAAGCCATTAATTTCATTTGTCAACATAATAGATTGATTTGTTCTTTGCTTTTAACTTGTGCAGGTCCTTCAACGACAAACCCATAAACGAAGATGCAGTTGGACCGATTGGAAAAGAACTCTTTGAGAAAGAGCAAAATGATCTTCTAGCAGACTTAATGGATATACCCAAGAAAGCATGTGACAGAAAGGTATAATTTTAATGAGTCTCAGTTTAGACAGTAATGTGCATTACAAGTCTCAGTTCAGGATATTCTGGAAGTAGAAAAGGAAACCTGACTACTGACTATCTTTTTGTTATACTTTGCAGATTAATGAGTTTGTGAAGCGAGCTCGAGCTGCGAAGATCAATGCATACATAATGAGTCACCTTAAGAAGGAAATGCCAGCAATGATGGGCAAATCAAAAGCTCAGCAACGTCTCATGGACAATCTGGAAGAAGAATTTGGAAAGGTTAGTAGATATCTCATTTGGTCTAGAACTTAAGACTAATCGCATTAGGTGTAGCCTTATAGGGGTTAAACATTTGCAATTACTTTGAAAATCTTTCTATGATAAGTTTTGGTAGAATTAGAATTGATTTCTTCATGTCTTAAACCAAAGTATTTGACTGTAAGCCAAACCAGAATTTACATTACACATTTATCTCGTATTTTTTTTTTACACATGTTTCACAGTATTATGAAAACCTTATGTCAAAAAAAAAACAGGTGCAGCGAGAGTTTCATCTTCCGGCTGGAGACTTCCCAAGTGTGGAGCATTTCAGAGAAGTATTGGGAGGCTATAACATTGACAAATTCGAGAAATTGAAGCCTAAGATGATTCAAGCAGTGGATGATATGCTGGGATACGATATTCCAGATCTCTTGAAGAAATTCAGAAATCCTTATGATTAAATAATAATGTCAGCTACTTAAACAAACTTACTTGAAGTTTCAGAGTATGTTAAATATTTGGATTTATGTTTTGTGTTCTTCTGAATGTTTAAATTGTTCAAATCAGCAAGTGTTAACCAATTCATTTTGAAATTAAAAATTTTGAAAACGTTATGAAAGAACTGAATTATACATCAAATCAATAGCAGTCTATGTAATCATTCCTCTGGTAATGCTGATTGTTGTTCTGCTGATCTAAAACAGCAGTAAACTCCGTCGACAAGAGACTCGTCTTCATAGTTCTTCCTTCAGGTTCCTTGAGGTACATCCGGTCATCTAAGTACGCCGTGATCAATTGTATATCCTAGGTCTGGGCATTCGGGTACCCGTTCGGGTTCGGTTCTTTTTTTTCGGGTATCGGGTCTATTCGGGTAGGGGGTCAAGACCCATTCGGGTATTCTAAAAATTTGGTTCGGGTTCGGTTCGGGTTCGGTTCGGTTCGGGTATTTTAATAAAAAAAAGCAAAATACCCGAAAATAACCAAAAATACCCGAAATATTTTCGGGTTCGGGTCGGGTTCGGGTTTTTAACTCATATATACCCAAATCTAACCGAAATACTCGATTTATCGAAAATACAATGGTTACTCTTTACCCAAATATAACCAAAAATATCTAAAATACCTAATATATTCGGATTTATGATTGTAATTTTAGGTATTTCGGGTATTATAAATATAAATATAACTAATATTTATAGGTGTATATTTGTATTCGGGTACATTCGGGTACATTCGGGTATTGGATTCGGTTCGGGTTCGGTTCGGGTTTTTTTCGGGTAGGAGGTTAGGACCCATTCGGGTATTTTTAAAAATCGGGTTCGGGTTCGGTTCGGGTATTGTTCGGGTTTTTCGGTTCGGGTATTCGGTTCCGGGTATTTTGCCCAGGCCTAGTATATCCTTTTCTTCCCTCAGTTTCGTCAAGAAATGCTCTCGCACAACGTTCATAACTTTCACAAACTGAGATTTGTACCGTTGATGAAGACCAAACCCTGCCGTTTGGAGAAAGGCGTTTAACGCTGTCACGGTAGCTATGTTGATGGCTGAGATGTTGTTAAAGAACCGAGCTAACCAAGCCCATCCATGTTCTATCCCATGAATGTTGGTAGCATTACCACCACGAATATCAGTCTGGACAAGTGCACCGTATAGCCTCATTGTAGAATCTAGGCGCTCATATGCCTCGGAATCCCACACTGAATTTACATCATGATTTGGGACAGTGTAAATGCAAGCTTTGTGGAATTCAGCAAGAAGAATATCCATAGCTTGTGGAAACTTCGAAGTGACATAACCAATGATGTAGCTGCATGCAAAAGGGTTTTGCCTACAGGAGACCATCCTCTTTGCAAAAGCTGCAATACTGATGGATAAAGGACAACGAGGATCTTTAAATACTTTGACGATTTCGTTGATTTTCGCATCCACCGTATCTTTTACCCCAGTTATCTGCCTTATCGACCTTCCAATACTCCTTTCAAAACTCCTAAAGTCCTGATTTAAACGTGATTTTAGCTCTTGGTTCATTGCTTCTAACTCTTCAAGCTTCTTCAATCTATGCTTCTCCAATGCCAAAGCAACAACACTAACTCTCTCAATCACCTCCTTTTCACCTTTTTCTTGACGTATTTTCTCTTCTTGATTTGCCCTTTCTCTCTTCTTGGCTTCCTCCTGAGCCTCTTCACTCCTTATTATTCTTTCTTCTATTTGTGATTTAATCTCATGTTCTCGTTGGACTGCACTCATATGCGTATCAAGTGCTTCAGCAACTTTTCGCTTATATTGAAGATCAAGTCTCCGTTCAACTTCTCTACGATTTTCGCGGTACTTCTCAACCCGAGCTAAAGCAGAGCGAGACGTTTCAATCTCATTCATTATTTCCTTTTCAACAACTGATACTTGATTCTTAATATCTTCCTTAGTTTTGGTTTGGTGGTCGTTCTCAGCCAAATCCATCTTATCCATCATATACTCAAGCTCATGATCAAACTCATCATCACTCAAGTATAAATCATCACAGGTACAGATTTGACTATAATCTTCTTCTTCTTCTTGAGCACTCTCTACATCTTCATCACTATCCATATCATCTTCTGATACACGCACTACGAATCCTCTATCACTCCTTGCCGTCTTTAAAGCATTGAGCTTCTTTGCGAATGACTCGGTCTCACAGACCAAGCGATCGAAACTCCTGTTAGGCTCAGGGTCATAGCTAAACCCTTGGACGCTTTTGGGACAATGAGGTTCCGAAACAACAATTCTCATTATTAGTGTTTTTGGTTCTCTTTGTTATGATTAATCTCTCTAACACAAGGGCTCTCTATTTATAGAGTTTGTGATTTTACACAAAATAGTAATTTGATATTTATAATTTTATATTGTAACAATTTCCATTTTTCTTCATAATTTTGTTTTTGTTCAAATTCTTTTGTATCTTGATTTCCTTTTTTGTTTGTTTTCCGATTGTCTTTCTTTTCCAATTTCTTGATTTTCCTTTTTTATTTTACAAAAGCGAATCTATTTCCAACAAATTCATAGGATTATTGAATCATTCTTTTTGTTTTTGGTAAATAATTTTTTTGTGTCAATATAGTTAATTTTTTTATGGAAATCGGCTGTGGGAAGAGTTACTGTTGTAGCGTCGTCGGATCAATTCATACATGCAACGATTGAAACAGAGGTGGAGGTAGTGAATTTGATCGTTGTATATGCGGCCCCAACAGTTAGTAGGAGAAGTGGGCTGTGGGGAGATTTAAAGACGGTAATTGAGGGTATCTCAGGTCCTCTAATCATTGGTGGTGATTTCAACACGATTCTACGAGTTGATGAGAGAACAGGTGGGAATGGACGGCTCTCGCCGGACTCTTTGGCTTTCGGGGATTGGATAAATGAGTTGTCGCTGGTGGATATGGGTTTTAAAGGGAGTCGATTCACTTGGAGAAGAGGAAGGATGGAGCAAACCTTTGTGGCGAAAAGGTTGGATCGTATCCTTTGTTGTGCCCATGCGAGACTCAAGTGGCACGAGGCGGTAGTCACACATTTACCAATTGTAGCGTCAGACCATGCACCTCTTTACTTGCAGCTGTGCCCTGAGGTGAGAGGCAATCCAAGCCGCAGACCATTTCGGTTTGAAGCAGCATGGATTAAGCATCCTAGTTTCAAAGAATTGGTCGCAACATCATGGAATTGTGAGCTGCAGACTCCGGAGGCTCTGTTTGGTTTGCAGATGAAGTTGAAAGAGTGGAATAGGGAGATATTTGGGGATATCCTGAAGCGAAAAGATCAGTTAACTAGTGATATCAAGAGAATACAAGATGTATTAGAGAACCACCAGACGGATGATCTAATTAATCAGGAGGACTTGTTGATTAAAGAACTTGATATAGTTCTTGAACAAGAAGAGGTTTTGTGGTTTCAAAAATCAAGGGAGAAATGGATTGCTTTGGGAGATAGAAACACAAAATATTTTCACACTTCTACGATTATTAGAAGACGGAGGAATCGAATTGAAATGTTAAAAAATGAGGCGGGTACTTGGATCTCGGATACACAGGAATTGGAGAAGGTGGCAATTGAGTACTATAACCGTTTATATTCTTTGGAGGATGTGGATCCAGTAGTGGAGCGGCTACCACAATTTGGTTTCACAAGTTTCACCGGAGAGGAAGTTACACTCTTAAATAGGACGTTCTCGGGGCTGGAGATAGAGAGTTCTGTTCGGAGTATGGGGAAGTTCAAGGCCCCTGGGCCAGATGGTTATCAACCTGTGTTTTATCATGAATGCTGGGACGTGGTTGGACAATCGGTGGTTCAATTTGCACTCGATTTTTTTGAGACTGGTGACTTACCTTGCGGGACAAATGATGCTCTTCTTGTTCTGATTGCGAAAGTCGCTAAACCGGAGAGAATTATGCAGTTTCGGCCGATTAGTCTTTGTAATGTTCTCTTTAAAACAATTACAAAGGCTATGGTATTAAGACTTAAGTCATTAATGCCAAAGTTGATTGGTCCGGCACAATCGAGCTTTATACCAGGGAGGCTTAGCACGGATAACATCATAGTTGTGCAAGAAGCGGTTCATTCTATGCGCCGAAAGAAAGGAAAAAAAGGGTGGATGCTTTTGAAATTGGACCTTGAAAAAGCATATGATCGAATAAGATGGGACTTTTTGGAGGATACGTTATATGCGGCACGTTTACCGGATAAGTGGGTCAAGTGGATTATGGCTTGTGTAGCGGGACCGTCAATGACTCTCTTGTGGAATGGTGAACAAACGGAGCCGTTTAAACCGGCGAGAGGTTTACGACAAGGAGACTCTTTGTCTCCATATTTATTTGTTCTTTGCCTAGAGAGATTGTGTCATTTAATTGATATCTCTGTGGCAGCAAAAGACTGGAAACCCATCCACTTATCGAGAGGTAGACCGACGTTGTCTCACATCTGCTTTGCGGATGACCTTATTCTTTTCGCAGAAGCTTCTGTTGCACAGGTTCGCGTTATCAGAAGAGTGTTGGAGAGTTTCTGTAATGCTTCTGGGCAAAAAGTGAGTTTAGAAAAGTCGAAAATATTTTTCTCGGAGAATGTTCATCGAGATTTAGCGGGACAGATAAGTGTTGTGTGTGGTATTAAAGCTACAAAAGATTTGGGGAAGTATCTTGGTATGCCTGTCCTTCATAAGCGGATTAACAAAGAGACTTTTGGTGATGTTATTGAGAAGGTTTCTTCACGCCTAGCGGGATGGAGAGGTCAGTTTTTGAGTTTTGCGGGCAGAATAACTCTTACAAAATCAGTCCTTTCTTCAATCCCTGTTCATTCAATGAGTACGATATCTTTGCCAGCTAGTACACTTGAGACATTGGATAAATTGTCAAAAGCTTTTTTATGGGGCAGTACTATTGAAAAAAAGAGACAACACTTAATTTCCTGGAAACGAGTTTGCTCATCAAAGCCTACGGGAGGGCTGGGCATCCGAGAAGCTAAACACATGAACACAGCTCTTTTGGCTAAAGTCGGGTGGAGAGTCATTAGCGACGAGACTAGCCTTTGGGCGAGAGTGCTGCGAGGAAAGTACAGAGTTGGGAATGTTCATGACAAGTCTTGGACTCTAACCAATAGCAATTGGTCATCCACTTGGAGAAGTATAGGTCGTGGTATACGGGAAGTGGTGCTTCCTGGATTGGGATGGGTGCTTGGTGACGGAAGGGAGATTAGATTTTGGTACGACAAGTGGTTAACTGATGAACCATTGTGTAATTTGGCAAACCGGGATCTACCTGAAAGTTTTAAAGAGGTCAGGGTCAATGCCTTATGGCGAAATGGTTACGGGTGGGATTTTGCTCATGTGAAGCAGTTCACTTCGGAGAGGGTTAATTTGCGGCTTGCATCGATGGTTGTGGATAATGTTACGGGAGCTAGGGATCGTTACTCATGGGGGGAGAGTGTCAATGGTGAGTTTACGGTCAAATCAGCCTACTCCTTTCTTGCCCGCGATAGCTCACCAAAACAGAACATGGGTAAGTTCTTTGATCGTGTGTGGCGAGTGGTGGCACCGGAACGTGTGCGTGCTTTCATTTGGTTGGTGGTACACCAGGTGATCATGACAAATGCTGAGAGACACCGACGCCACTTGTGTGACACAAGTCTCTGTTCGGTCTGTAAGAGTGGTGATGAAACTATATTGCATATCCTGCGGGATTGTGAAGCTATGATGGGGATTTGGAGGAGAACAGTGGATGTACGAAGAATCCAGCGTTTTACTGCGCAGTCTGTGCTTGAATGGCTCTATAGTAATTTGGGTAATGATGCGGATACGGAGGGTAGTCCCTGGTCGACGATGTTTGCTATGGGAATTTGGTGGGCTTGGAAATGGCGTTGCGGGAATGTCTTTGGTGCTGATTGGAAATGTAGAGATAGAGTGCGTTTTCTTAAGGACCAAACCAAAGAAGTATACACAGCAAGCTTGCGTGTGTTGGAAGGTACTAGTCAGGCAGCACGGGAGGAGAGGCTGATCCAATGGGTACCGCCGGGTGAAGGTTGGATGAAACTTAATACCGACGGAGCTTCCCGTGGCAATCCAGGCCTGGCCACGGCAGGAGGTGTGCTGCGAGACGGAAATGGGAGTTGGGGAGGTGGATTCGCTTTGAACATTGGTATATGCTCGGCACCTTTAGCGGAGTTATGGGGGGTGTATTACGGGTTATATATAGCTTGGGAGAAGCGTATCACGAGATTGGAGTTGGAAGTTGATTCAGAGATAGTGGTGAGTTTCCTAAAACACGGGATTAGTGACTCTCACCCGCTATCGTTCCTAGTACGTTTGTGCTATGGCTTTTTATCGAGGGACTGGATAGTCCGCATTTCGCATGTGTATAGGGAGGCTAACCGTCTAGCCGACGGGTTAGCAAACTATGCGTTTACTTTGCCTTTAGGGTTTCATATGTTTGAGTCTAGACCGGATGTGGTCAATTCCATTGTTTTTGAAGACGTGAACGGGTCTGCGTACCCCCTTTGTTTACCAAAAAAAAAAAAGAATCCTCTGGATTTGTGTCTCCAAACGTTACCACAAATTATTTACTTTCTTCTTGGGATAACCCCAAACGCTTCAAACGCTTCAAACGCTTCAAACGCAAGTCACATTTATTTAAACGCTTCAAACGCAAAAGAGAGAGAAGCAAGCGAGAAGGAAAAAAACAATCATTGGAAGAAGCAAAAAAAAAAAAAAAAGATAGAAATGGAGAAGAAGCTACCGAGAAGATTGGAAGGTAAAGTCGCGATTGTGACTGCTTCGACGCAAGGAATTGGCTTCGGAATCATTGAACGTTTCGGTCTCGAAGGCGCTTCCGTCGTCGTCTCTTCCCGCAAACAGGTTTCACGATCTCCCAGTTTCTATTTCATCTTCAGAATTTGAATTAAGATGATGAAATTAAAGATTTTATGGATCTTTGTATTTTTGCTTTCATTAGGTAAAGCTTTTTGTTATTTGGAATTTTTGATTTTGCAATTATACTGTAGACAGAATTGTGAAAATTCTGGGTTTGATGTGAAAATTCTGTAGATTAGAGCAGCAGATTTTGTGTATTTCTGAAAGCTCGTAGCTTTGTTTAGCCAACTTTTCTGCTGACTAAAAGGGTTGATTATGTGCAGGCAAATGTTGATGAGGCAGTAGCAAAACTCAAATCCAAAGGGATTGATGCATATGGAATCGTCTGTCATGTTTCCAATGCTCAACATCGCCGCAATCTTGTCGAAAAGACGGTTCAGGTAACAGATTTATGAGATTTTTCAAGGCAAATTGATTATAAACAGCTTTACATAACCAACAAGTTGTTTTTATTGTTGTTGATTGGTCCTGTGCATCAAGCTCTTACTATCTCCCATTTGCGCACCTTTGATTTACTGAAGAGATGTTTTCGGTTTCAGAAATATGGGAAGATAGATATCGTTGTCTGTAACGCCGCTGCCAATCCATCTACAGACCCAATCTTGTCTAGCAAAGAAGCTGTTCTTGACAAGCTATGGGAAATCAATGTCAAATCCTCTATTCTTCTCCTTCAGGTAAAGCTTTCCTTTTATTAGTTTATATACAAAGGATGCAGTTTTAGCATTTTGTTTCCATGGCCCAATAGATCATTTTAGATTTAATTTGACTCCTCTATGTTCATTTTACCAGGATATGGCTCCTCACCTAGAGAAGGGTTCTTCTGTTATCTTCATTACTTCTATTGCTGGATTTCAACCACAAGGAGCCATGGCTATGTATGGGGTCACTAAGACTGCTCTTCTCGGACTAACCAAGGTATGTGTATCATTGTCTCCATCTCACGATTGAATGGTTATGATGATGATTATGACATTATGCATCATGTTTCTTAGGCACTTGCTGCTGAGATGGCTCCCGATACACGTGTGAACGCAGTTGCACCCGGTTTTGTGCCCACACACTTTGCTTCTTTCATCACTGGAAGCTCCGAAGTGGTAATGTTATAAGATTGAAACTGTTTGACTGAGGTTGTAATTGTATCTCAAGTGATGGAATAATAATAATAATTGAACACTTGTGGATATGCGCAGAGAGAAGGCATCGAAGAGAAGACTCTGCTTAACAGGTTGGGAACAACGGGAGACATGGCTGCTGCGGCTGCTTTCTTAGCATCAGATGATTCTTCTTACATCACGGGAGAAACTTTGGTCGTCGCTGGAGGAATGCCCTCAAGACTCTAAACCAATTTCCCATCGATATATAGTAGCGTAAAAAATGCAATCAGGGTAACAAGTAGAGATCGTTTTATAAGTTTTCAACAAAAATAAGATTTTAAGAGAAGAAAGAAGTTCCAATAATATCATGAGTCCATTGGATACCTTTATTGGTCTTGTAAAAGATATTTTCTTCACTCGAAAGACTCGTTTGGTTTTTTTTTTCAAAGTTAGAGCAATAAAGTTCGGGTTTCGTATGAATGTATATAGGTTTAGGTTTTATTGTTTGTTTTGGTTTACATTTGGGTTTAATGTGTTGACTACTTTTTTCACCCAAATAAGTGGTTCTGCGTAAGATTCGCTTCCGAGTTACCCCTCTCCTTCATCACTGGAAGCAATCATGATGGGAAATCTTTTGACTCAGTGTTTGGAGGCTAGGTTTTTAGTCTAGTCTGATCGAACCGTAGTCATAGGAACCTAAGCCACTGACTATACTGCTTTCGACAAAGTGACGCAACGAGAGTTGTAATTCATCTAGTATGTGAACATTGATCTTGCCACATAGTAGATACATTAATTACTTGTTTAGCAAGAAAGAGATTCATAAAATACACTAATAGTTCAATACTATCCATAGATATCGAAGCCACAAAAAGAGAACAAATTAAAAACCATTCATAGATACCTTGGTAAAAGAGCTACCAAGCATTTCTTCTTTCTTTCCTGATTGAAAGAGATCGAAAACTCGACCACACATCAGACATGTCGACCTTGGGAAGAGCATTGTTCATGGCATCTCTTAAATTCTTATCATCAACAGCATCATAGAAACATCCACGTCTCTTCGAGTCCCTTACGAGCTTTGTCCAATCGAACCACTCAGCGACAAAGTTCTCTCGTTCCCAATCACCCATAAACAGTGCCTTGCACGAGTCAGTGCAACGTTGGCTCTTTGACGGTTAGAGAGAAACCCTATGTGTCCGTTACCGTTGTTTCTAACGGTGGATATGATAATGATATCTTCTTCTCCTCCTTGAAACCCATCCACGGACCGAACATTCAAAGTGAAAAGCTGATCTGATACGGAGGTGTACTTATCTCCGATCCTCTCTTGGATTGCTCTAACTTGAGCTTTATAAGGTGAAATAACACCAACACTCATCTTCGTCTTTGCCTCACTGGACACTGTTTTAAAAATTAGGCTAGTTAAAAAAGTACCATAAGAAACAGATTATATCTATAAGATCAACAAATATTTACCTTTGAGAAGATTGGATAAGATCTCAGAAACCACAGCAACCTCAACCATGTTTTTAGGACTGTGTCCATCACCAAACTCTTCTTTCCCAAGTCCCACGTTGATAAAGGAGAAAGAACCAAACATGTTTCCTCGAAGAAACCGCTTTTGATAGGTGCTTTCTTTAACAATCTCAGCATCAGAGATCTTACCATCATAAAACTCCATGTTGGGGAAAAGGCTTATAGAAGTATGCATACGATATTGAACATTAAGCAAATGTTTCTTGTGGCCAAGCAAAACCAATCTCTCAAACAAGCTTCTCCCAAATTTGGCCTTCTCACATACCTACGAACACAAGAACTATGTTTCAAACGCAATTCCTACGTTTAAAATGCCAAACGCAAATAGATCAACAAGACAAAAGAAAGTACCTCGCTTTGCACCATTGCTGGTAGCTGAAGCTCATCTCCTATTAGAACAGCATGGTGCAAACCCTGAATTTGCAATGCAGCAACTGATTCACATTCTTTAAGCTGAGCCGCCTCGTCAACTACAAGAAGTTCTATGGACCCTGTCCGTTCCGCGGTCATTTCTGCAGCACCCGAGGCAGTGCAGAAGATTATGTGTGCATTTTGTAGGCAGAATGTCCTTGTATCCTCGTTTACCAACAAGGCTGGAATCTCAAAACGTTTTGATAGCAAACGTAGAGTCTGAAGGCAATCAATACTGATGACTTTGTTGAAGCAATCGAATGTGAAGCTTCCTTGTTTCTCCTGCAAGAAAGATCTGGCTCGGCGAAGAGCTTTACGGGCTGCGATCATATTCTTCACATCGTTAGATGATGTAAAAGACTTGGGAAGATGTGTGTACAAATCCACCATATCCTTCTGGACCTTCCCCATTGTTTCACTTAACCCATAGTAATTTTTCTTTACAAACTCCCCAAATGTAAGAATCTTTTCTTTCTTTTCAGCTTCTTCCTTCTCCGATCTTTCATTTGAGCCAAGAAACATTTTCATTACAAACTCTCCAAATGTTGTAAGAATGTTTTTACCATCTTCCTTAATCTCCCTTCTTTCATTTAACAAGAGATATTTCTTATAATTAGACTCCGAATTCTCAAGAATATCGATGATTGACTCCAAACTCCGTTCCCATCCAGTCGATGGCGAAAACAGTTTACGCAATTTACTAATGCGATGTTCAAGAAACACGTTGAGGAGATCATCATTCCCCCTGTCGTCTATCCCCATTCGGACTCGGTTTCCGACTAAAACAATATTCCCAAGCCCGTAAGTAGAATGTTCTGATGAAGAAGTTTCCTTAAATAACGCCAAGAGCCTCGATGCAACTTCTACTACAGCCGTGTTTGTAGGAGCACACACAACTGTTTTGCAACTTAGGTTGAGAAGAGCAAACAGAAGAGTAGCAACTGTTTTTGTCTTGCCGGTACCAGGTGGTCCCCAAATCAGTTTCACACTAGTCTTGTCACGTAAATTTCTTGTCTCCAAGCAACTCAAAATTGCAGATTCCTGAGAAGGGTTCAACTTTGCAGAACGCATAATATCCCATACACTATTCCCCCAATTCCTAGAAGAAACAGGGTGCTCTGTATCCTGATTAACAAGAAAAAACCACGATTACTCCACATTAGACGTTAAAGCAAGATCATTTCATGTTACTTACCGCGGTATTTGCCTGAAGGACACTCTTGATGAGACCCAAGTTGCCATCTCCGTTGTGCAAAGCCTTCCAGATACGAGTGTTTGTGGTTAAATTCATGAGAAAAACACCCGAACGAAACGAAAATTGCTCATCAATGGATATAGTTTTGGAGGAATGAACAGAGAAATGTAGTTCATCTTCAACAGAGAACACATATCCAAGAATCAGTGGGTTTAAGTCATCCACGCGTGTTGGCCTTGCTGCTTTTGTGAGAGCAATGAGATCTCCATGTTTCGGCTCGTAACTTGTTCTATTTCCTTGTGCAACACTCGTTAGTCCTGATATATTAACCTTGTTTGAGCTTCTACTCGGTAATTTAATTGCCGTAGCCTCCACGGAACTTATGTAAAAGACAGGAGCTTTCCACAAAGAGTTCAAGCTTGAGGACAACTCGGTACGTGTTTCCTCTAGTAAAAGAGGAACAAAGCAGTTAAGGTATTCATCAACGGACCAAAACCTGTCTGGTATCGACTTTATCTCTTCCTTGTAGATATCTTTGTTGAGAATATAATTGATGGACCAAGCGAAGATTTGATTAATCAGACTTGTCTTTTGATTCCTCTCCATGTCACAGTATCTTTCTGCAACATAATAAACAAAGAAAAACATGAGTTAGGTTCCTACTTCCTACTTCATAGCAGCAGGTCATAGGTACATAGAGACATAACTTGGCTTACAAGGCTCTAAGTAGTATGATGATAAGTAGGAAGCAGTTTCTTCAAAAGCACTGATGCAATAGGAATCAACAAAGCCAAACGAAGACAACAGAAAAAAGCTGGCTTATCAGTTTGGTCTACTTAAAAGAGAAAGAAGGCGAACGGTTAAAAACACAGTTGGGAAGGAATATATAATTTTAACAGTTCCCAAGAAAATATTGTTAATAGAGAGACAGTGAACATAGCACCTTGCATGCATTAACTAGAATTTAAGTTAATTTAAATTTGCTCACCATTTCTTTTTCTTTTTGAAAATTTTCATTAGTACTTTTTTTGTTTTACGAGAAATTAGTTCACTTAAGGAAGAAGAAAGGTCAGAAACTTACGGTGGAGAGGACACCATTTGCCTGCTTTGAGTCGTCCTAATCATCATCATGATGATTATACGAAATTAGTCACATCAACACATTTATTTTATAATTTGAAATACCACACAAATTTTTAATTTAGGAATACAAAATACTTCTTTAGTTCCAACAAAACCTGATTCAAAAAATAGTAAAATGGAGCAAAAGAATTTAAATAGAATAATACAAATTTACACTTGAACCTTTTTAATGTACACAAAACATAACCCCATTGTAAGAGGCAAAAAAACCGATATGGTTTCCTTTTCTCATCCCACTCTTTCTTCAGTCTTAGGGCCTAACTCTTGACTATACATTATATATAATTTGCTCTATAGATTAATAGTGAAGCAATACATACATGCATACGTAATGTTATATATGTGTTTTTCAGACAGGAATGACATCAGCATTCTGATTCTCGTCACAAGTAATGATAAGGCCATCCACATAAGTTGGGAGGAGGCAACGCCACCATTTGCAGCCAGTGGCGATTGATTCCGCAGGAGGAATGATCATCAGAACGTTGTCGTGTCGCCTCACCATTCCCATCACGCTTACGGTGCTCCCTTCTTTTATGTATCTGATCAACAAATTCAGAAATAGTATCATCAAAATGGCCAAGAAGATTCGAAATACATGATTATCTGAATATGTACATGTAAGATGTGTCTGAGAAAGAGACCAACACTTTTTTAAAATCTTTGAAGGGTAATAACTAATAAAGCAGTATAAAGATCAGTCTTCTGTGATAAAGCTATTTACTTTGAGAATCTTTCTTGTTCTGAGAAGAGTTCAAAGCACAGAAAGATTCTTCCTTTGAACTAAAGCCATTTATACTTTATGTTAAGGGTTAAAAAGCACCAAAAGATCCTTCCTTTGAACTAAAATAGGAAACAAAATCTTATGTCCTAAAGTGAATGGCTTTACTTTTAATCCTTGACATAAAGTAAATGATTCTCACTGACTTTATGCCCTTACTCATAAGTAGGAAACAAAATCCATCAGAGAGGCAAAAGTCAATGGTTGGTTAGTTTCCATTTAGCCGTTCAGTGGAAAACAGGGGTTTGAAGAGTGACTCTAGTAGTAAAAAGAGGGTTTTGTTTTGAGGGACTCTTTGTACTTAACTTGATCAAAGTATACGGAGAAAGAAAATGCATGGTGTAAATAATACCATACCCTTCTTTGAGACGCATGGCACAGTTATCGTTGGAAAGGTTGCGATCCGCTAACCATTGTAGAAAGCTTGGAGATAAATCCTTAGTTTGTGAGGTTACATTAGCTACTGTTGCCGGTTTGACAATTGGAGACACTTTTGATCCATATCCTGCTTTAACAAGTGCTCGCAATCCGGATTGGAAGTCCGAGATGTAAAAATCCGATACATATCTCTGCAACATAACCAAATAAAACAATGATCACCAAATATTCAGATAAAACACTTGAATAAGAGGAGAAAGAGTAAAAAGAATCTAAACCTCAGCATGTCTGCATCCCCACGAAAAACATCTATGTTTCAAGTTAGCGGATTTCCCACAAAAACCTTTGTACTCATACAATTCCGTCGATACATAAACACATCTCGGTATCCTTTGGTATGATGACTCAAGCGGGATACTTCCACATGTTACAACCTGCAAACATAAACGTAACAATACCTCATTGATCACTTAAAAGACCAGATTTAACAACTATATGATCATTACAACAAGTTTACCATATCAGGAATACTGATTAGTCTCACTAACTAAGCCACTAATCACACAAAAAAGAGGCAATGAATATGACATTCTAACACATGAACTGATTACTTAACTCATCAAATTACCAATGAGCTTAACCTAAGAGTCTAAGACGCAACAGAGTAACACAAAAATGAAGTCTTTAACTAAAAAGTTGGAAACTTGCCCCTGTGACCTTGATGAACTGTCCATCAATGGCGCCTCTAATCACAGCATCTGGATAATTCTTGATGAAACTCATTAACCCTCTTCTTCTCCAAATACAATTCCACAAAAAAACCACGACGGCCGGAAAAATCGCCGCCACAATCACCACCACAACTAATGGCTTCTTCACCGCCACAGATAAAAACGCACCAATTAGTAAACCCATCCCTGCAACTACAATCACTGCCCAAATCACAGCCTTTGGTACTCTAAACCCGACCCGAATCGGATCCGAATTCAAAACCGTAACCGCCGATCCATATTTGGGTTTGCTCGATCTTGTATTACTCGTTTGATGATGTTGATCAATCTGACCCGACCTTCTTGACCCGGACCCAATTGGACCGGACGAATTAAGCGGACCGGAGGTGATTAAACCGGTGGGTTGAAGCTGAGAGAGAGGACCTGAAGATTTTCTAATTAGACCCGATTGGGATCCGGATCGAACGGATCCACTATTCGGATTCGAAGACGAAGCGCAGGGGACACGTGGCGGTGGCGGTGGCTGTCTAGCTGATTCGCCGGAGAAAATCGACGGAGGTCTTTGAAACGAGGTGGGATCATTGACGGAGATGTCAAACATCCTTCCGAGCTCGCCGGATTTCTTGATATCGCCTCCGGTGTAAGGCATAGCACGAGCCGCCATTGTCGGTGGTCGTTCTTTAGGTTGTTCGAGTTTACCTGAAACGTAGAGTCCACTTGGTAATTGGTGAGATTGTAATCGACCCGCCATTGTCAGAAAGTTAGAGAAATGTAGAGAATTTTTAGTTTCTCTCTCTTCTTTGTGGGTGACTTGGTAGAGAGAGAATGTGTAGCAGTGGTTAAGTGTTTGAGTGGCAGTGAAGATGGAAGAGAAAGAAAGGAGACGATGTGGTTTAAATGACGGTTGTACCCTTGAATATTGAATTTGATGACGTATTTTTTTTTTTAATAAAACAAAACGTCGACGGTGAGGTTTCCAAAAAAGGTTTTTGATTGGTTCATGTGCCACATAAGCCCCACATTTTTGTTAGTGGATTGTCTTTTTACTTTTCTGTCCCATATTTTTATAGATTTTTCCAAATGTACCATAAAATATTTGTGCTCATAAACACTTAGGAACTTCCCAGGTGTAATCATTTGTTTGTTATATTATATCACTATTAAGTACTTTGTATGAAAAATTGGTAGACGCTAGTTGGACGTTCGGTATAGATATAACGATTAATCAAAAAATTGGATTAAAATTGGTGATTAATCGAAGACTAGTTTTAAGGTAATTTTAATATTATTAAAATATATTAATCTAAAATTATTTTTAAAATTATATTAAACACATAAAAATATATTTTAAGATAAATTTTTATAATTTTTTATTAATATTTGAATATAAGTTATTATAAAATATCATAAACTCCAAATTCTTGAATAACAAAAAAAAAATTTGTTTTATACTTGCAATCTAAAAATAATCGGGATATGTAAGATTAGGCGATAAATAATCAGATTAAGCGGGAAGTAATCGGATTATGCGGAGAGTAATTAGGTGATTGATTTCTTTAAGAGATTAGTCATTAATCGAGGCAGATAGAGTGGGTCTAACGATTAAGTGGAGAGTAATCGGGATAAGTGGGAATTTTTAGAACATGGATTAAGTCTAGGTATATTTTTTCTTTGGCAGCATTTGGATTTGAAAAGGAAGATTATATATTTTGACAAGAAAATGGAAGATTATAGAATTTAACTGATATGGAAGACTTTAGGTTTTCTTAGGTGGAGAACATTAAAACAATAAAAATATAAAACCTTGGGGAAAAATAAAGATAATGAGACTTTGAGACAATCTGCCTTTTATTTATAAAATTAGTGTTGTGTCCCGTGCTTCCCACGGTCAGAGAGTCGTTATAGGAAAATAGAATATAAAAAATATGTTGAGGTTTTCCTATAAAATTAGGATTGTGGGAAGTGGATAGAGCAGTTGATAAATTTAAGTGATTGTTTTTTCTTTTCTTTTCTTATTTTTTCGTCATAAAATGTTTAGAAAAGTAAAGTGAGTGAATTTGAGACCTAAAACATGTGTCAGATGAAGAGAGCTGCAGTTTTTAGAGAAGTGACTTGTGATTTATTATAATAGGATTTGCATACCCTCTAACAAAAAAAAAAGTTAACTAAAAAACTTTGAAATAATTACACTCGTGGGTGATTTCCGACGAAGAATGAAATAGATTAGGAGTCCGGCACTCGGCAAAGCGCAAAGACCAACAAATTCAATTATTTTCGGCCGTTGAGACCGTTGGCATAAATAGTTAATTTAAGTATTTGATGTTTAGAAAACTATTTTTGTTGTTAATATTTACATTGATTGGTTGACAACAAAAATAAGAACCCACCAAATTATCAGTCTTAAAAACTGTTAGTTAATACCAACTGAGTATAGTGGTGATTTGTTAGGTTTTTCCAAACAAAGTTGAACCTAGCATCTTTAGGTTAAAATTTCTTGAAAAAATCATGGTTTATGTTTTAACGGATATTATCATATCTACCACAAAGACGTGAATCTTTTACGCAAAAAATGGTTTAAGTTGAACGACCGGCTTTGAATCTTACAAAATTACGTATCCAAAAACTCCAGTTTTTTTTGGTTATTAAAAAGCGATATTTTAAATCCATATTGAAATGTCAAATTGACTACGTAAATTTTTGAATTAACATAATATACATATCGCTTTAATTAGTCTAACAAAAGTGAAATATATCGAGTAACATAAAAAAGTAATATCAACAAAAAAAACATATAAAGTCATCACCTCTCCTTTTTTGCCCTCTTGTAAAGTTTATTTTTTAATTTAATATAAGGGAAATTGCATTCTATGTCAATGCAACACCTTTTGTAAAGTTTACTATTGTGTTTATATAAATTAGCATTTTAAAAAGTATTGAGTTGTTGTTTTACAAACTTGAACAACATGTCAATTTCGAATTGATTTTTTGCATGTGTGTTCATTTAAACGTTTGTGCTGGTGTCATGATGTTACAAACAATTTTACCAAACAAACAAAAGAAGATGTTACAAACACCAAATATATAACATAATGTTTAATGAAAAGGTATGTGGGGGTACCCACATTAGAGAAAAATTGTGGGTATGATCTATATATACATTTTTGAATGACTTTTAGCAAATAAATCCTGGAGTTGGACTTTATTTACGGATGAATGCCATTGGCATTAATTATTTAAATTTGAAAAATATTAATTAAAGATATTACCAATACGATTTCGAGAATCATAAATTCATATCTTCCTTAATTTTCTGAGTCATTAATGTGATAATCTTTAGGAAATATTTCTCTGTAAAAAAAAAAAATCCAGATTAATGAAGGCATTAAAATCGACACTAACAATTAAATTATTTAGATGTTCAATTATTTTAAGATTCTTATATCTTATTTGATATTTTTTTTTAATATCTCATTCTTTAATTACTGCGTTTAGAATTTATTGGTTGTTACCTATTTTTTGGTGAAATTTATTGGTTGTTACTTAATATAAGTAATTATGGTGCGTTTATTTTAGTTAATATCTAATTTAAAGAATTTGTTTTCTTTTATTATTAATAAACGAATAACATGTATAGAAATAAAAGATTTTTCTTGCGACTCCATAATAAAAATATTAAACTCTTATTTTCTACATTTCTTACACATAATATCCTCTTATTCAATAACAAAAAATATATATTGCATATTTTTAAAAATATTTATAATATTTAAATTATATAAAAAATTTGTAATATTAATATTATTTCAACTCTATACAAATTTAATATATATGTATATATATCTTATGGGAACCATTTAAAAGAAATTTTTAAATTGACTTGAATTATATAGCTTTTAAATAAAAGTATTATTAAAAAGAAAAATAACTAAATAATGTTTAATTTCACGGGACGGGTAATATGATGGGACGGGTTTGGGTTGATATTTATAAAAGATCGTATACCACGGGTGAAATCCTAAAATTAACAATCAAAATAATCTATCAAACAAATTACATTTTGATTTTTTTAAGAAAATATAGCCCCGCGGTGTACCGCGGGTTAAAATCTAGTACAATAAACAAAGAAGAATTAAAGAAGAGCATGCAAATTCAATTTCAAATCTTCAATTCCCTCACATTTCATATTCACTCATCATGATTCATATGCCCCTCCATTATTGATCATGGGTCGACAGATCCAACGACTCACATAAATTCCAAATGATATCTTCCCCCACAAAAAGAATTACAAAAATTCACTATTTTCAAAATAGGAAATCTGAATGGTAATTAGTAGGGTCAGTCCCTTTAAAATCTTTTTTGTTTGTTCATTGAGTTCTTTGGACGCTTCCTCTCCAAAATGCAAATTATGTCATCGATAAACTTTGTATCTATATAAAGTTTACAAATGACAATCATCATATACAACTTAAATATATTTATCACTTTGAGTAGTTTTTCTTAGAAAAAATGTTTTTTTTTTTTATAATAATATTTTCTAGGCTTGTGCATACGATTCTTCCGTTTATAATTTTCGGATTTTGTTTTTGTTCGGTTTAAGATTTTGTTCGTTCAGGTTGGGGTTGGTTCGGTTTGGATTTAGATAAAATAGAAAAAAAATGAAATTAAATCTATACTAGTATTTTTGCAGTCACTTTGGTGACGGTTGGGTAAAAATGCTTCCGGGTTATTTAGATATCCGACCCATTTCAAAAAATCCTTCACAAAAAAATTTGTTGGATCGGGTTATATTTAACTCAACTCATACACCGAATATTCCATATTTAATTATTTAAATATTTAGAAGATTTGATTAAGATTTATAATTATAATTCTCCTATAATCTTTGTTTGATTTGTTTTTAACTGTTTTGAATCATCATATAATACATAAAGTAAAAAAAAATCAATTTACAATGATTCGAAATTTAAAAAACGGACATATATTATCCAATTGACGAAAATGTTTGTTCAACAATCTTCATCGATTAAAATATTTAGACAATGATTCAAAATCATATCATAAATAAAAACATTGATAAAATAAATGAGTTTTTCGTCGGACGGGTTTTTTAATCAAAAATAATAAAAAGATTAAAATATCATTAATCCGCCGCTTCAATACGGATTAAATCCTTATTTTTTTAATACCATAAATATTAGACATATTAAATCAGTCTCATTTAGAAATGATTGTATAAAACCAAAAATTGTCCCGTGGTATAATGTTACTTAATAACAATATTTATAAAATTTTAATATATCATTAACATGCCGCCTTAATACATATTAAATCTTTAGTTTATTAAAATATAAATGTCTTAGTGCTTACCAAAAAAAAAATATAAATGTCTTAGAGAATGATATGATTTGCAACTTTTATATATAATAAATAATCATTAAATTTTAAAATAAAAACAAATCACGAGACGGGTTAAGAAATTACGGAACGGGTTATATTTCGGAAAAGATTTATATGGCGGACGAATTTGAATCAATATTTATATACCACTTTAATACGGGTTAAATCCTTGGTTTATTAATAATTATCTCGTGGACTCGTGGTATACCGTTACTAAATAACAATTATAAACTATAATATAATGTTATAAGGATATACAATTTACATAATATTTTTATACAAACTTTAAAATTAAATCATCTCGCGGTATACCGCGGGTTAAAATCTAGTAACTAAGTATCAACCTAGTGAATTTTGGGTTTATTCTGTTCAATTGCTTAATTGGATGCAATACAGATTACTTTGTAAATTATTTATCTATCACTAGGATTACTATTTCTTTAAAAAAATTCATTTTGATTTTTGGTTGATGATTTTCCACCCTACTATATTTTCGTTTAGGAAAGGAGATCACTTTTATAGTTGATCTTTACCTTAAATGTGACAATCAATTTGCTTTTCTTTAATTTCTTTTTTTTTAACTTAAGTGACATTCAAGTAATCACTTTGATTCGTTATATATAATAGATGGCAACTACTATTAAACACCGTTAGACAAAGTCGCAATCAATAGCAGCCAACCACACGGAACAAGTAATAAGAACGAATAACCTTTTTTTGTTTGACTAGCAAATGTTACATTAGAGAATATTTCTTGAGAGAATTTGTTGGGAGATTACAGAGAAAAAAATCGATGGCAACTTCGAAGCTTCAAGCTCTCTGGAATCATCCAGCTGGACCTAAGACAAGTGAGTTTTTAACATCCATGAATACATGAATGTTTCTTCACTTTTGACTTTTCGCACTGTGAGACTTGATCATCGAATTTTTGATACTTGAGCAATCAATATTTGTATAATGATTTTCATCTTTTGTTGCTCGATTTGCTTTGATTCAACCTAAATTTCCAATTCTTGGTTGACTCCGTAACAGATCCTACTTAGTTTGTTTGGTTTTGTCTTAGAACAAGTCTCTGAGGATGTATTGATATGTTGCAACGAAATTTGACTATGTAAGAATTTTGATTGAAGAAAAGCTTACCTGAATGGTTATCGTTTATACATAGATTCTGATTCAATTTGGGTTCGGTTTAGATTGGTTTGGTTAAAATGCTCTGTTTTTCTCCAATGGACTCTTAAGTTTAATCAAACAAGTGCATATGGTAGCTTAATCAAACTTGCTACAAAAACATGAATTGTAGTCATTTTGTAATGTCAGTTCATTTTTGGGCGCCAACGTTCAAGTGGGGTATAAGCATTGCTAACATTGCAGACTTTCAAAAACCTCCAGAGACACTTTCATACCCACAACAAATTGGTATACTCACTCTTAGTCTCTTAGCTATCTTTTTTCTCCTTGTATCGATGACGATGTGTGAACTTTTATGTTTATATGATGCCTCCTCGTACGCTTTCATTGTATCTCCATCTCTTAATCTTCTTACAGTTTTTGTTTGCTACATCTATTGTATCAGTGATCACAGGCACTGGACTTGTTTGGTCACGTTACAGCACTGTAATTACTCCGGTATGTTTTCTGCAAATCATCATTTAATTATATATTACGTTTTGCTTTGATCTTGTACTAATATGTTAGATGATTACTGGTTTCTTCTGATGTTGGTCTAACTTTTTGTTAACAGAAAAACTGGAATCTCTTTAGTGTAAGTCTTGGTATGGCTGTGACAGGCATATACCAACTTACTCGTAAAATAAAGTAAGATGTAGGAAACATTCATATTATTATTTCCATTTCATGAGATTAGCAATGGAAATACGAACACTCCTTTTTTTCTTTTCTAATGAACATATTTTGGTTATGACTTCTCGTCATGGTTTCAAACTTCACCATTGGTGTTTTGTTTGTCTCTGTTTTGACATTGATATGTGTGGTTTGCAGGCACGATTATTCATCTGAATCAAATCCTATTGTTGCAAAAGAATGATGAAGATGAAGCCTTGTGGTTCTTATTAAAAACTAATCTTTCATTCCAAAATATCATCATGTCAAGGCTTGATTTTGTTTCCATACCCAAATCTTTTTTGGGTTATAAATTGGTTATGTTATCGTTAGAAAATGAAATACTGGTGTGAGTACTATGAATGTATAACTTTTCTGCATTTTATTCAACCAATATTATAAAATTTAGAGGAATGCTTAATTCCAAGAGCCATTCCATATGAATAATAGTCCAAGCAAAGTAACTGTAACTGGGATCATGATCTAACATTGTGGTATGGTAAATGTAACATGAACCTTGACACTGTGAAAACTAAAAGCTGAACAGCTGCTGGCGAAAAGCAACAACAACCAATGATAAACCAAACCCAAGAGCCACTCCATATGAAAAATCTAAAGCAATGTCACTATCACTATCACTCTCGGTGGTTCTTGGTCGTTTGTTGGCTGGTACCTCTTGTTGACAATGAAGCAAGTAATGACCACAGAGATGTTTTCCCTCAAAACTCGAGTTAGGAAATGTCTGAAATTGACCATCAGAAGGGATTCACCCTGAGAGACTATTTTTAGCAACACTGAACTTGGACAAGAATGTTAGATTCTCCAAAGATTCCGGGATTGAACCAGTAATACGGTTATTCGACCAATCAAGAACCTCTAAGCTTGTCATTTCTGAAAGCGAGCTAGGTATTGATTCTAGGGTCTTTGAATGAGACAGCTCGAGTTGTGAGACTCTGGAGCCTGGTTAAGCTTTTTGGGATCTTTCTTGTGAATGAGTTATTCGACAAATCCAAGTAGAAAAGATTGGTGAAACCATCGAACCAATTCGGGATAGCTCCAGTTAAATGGTTCCATGATAGATCCAATCCAACAGATGTAGATGTGTCAAAAAGTGTTATGGTATGGTTGTGGAATAAAAAAGTGTTATGGTATGGTTATAAACTTCCACAAACTTTTTCAACCAAAATTACAAAATTAAGAGGAATGCTTTAATTTCACTTAACTTGTTTTCTATCTAAATGTACAACCATTTTGCACCAAAGCATAGTTGCCAACTATGTCTATTTCGAACAATGTAATGCTTGAAGCCGACCGACCAGCAAGTTTAGTCATAGTTTTGCAGTATGAACCACTTTGTAATAACTTCAAATTGACACACACTAGAGCGTCTCGGAGAGTCAAAGAGATTTTTATAGAGACTAGGCTCTTGTTTCTCTCCGTGAGACAGATTCAAACGTAGAACAAGCTTCTTGAGAGATGTCGCGTTATCCAGAAAGTATCTAACTAGTTTCTTCTCTGTTGCTTTCTCCGTGATCGGGCTTTCCATTTCAACAGATTCAAGAGACGATACCAAACAAAAAGATAGCACAGTCGAAAGCTTAGTTACCACTGCCTCTGGATGATCATTAACTAATTCCTACAAAGATAAATCAACAAAACCAAACAAGACTAATGAGCAGATGAAGAAAACCTTTCTTAGGTAAGAATTGCAAAGTTTAAGCAAGTCATTACCAAGGTCAAGTGTTTCATATTCGGGCAGCTCTCAAGAACCATTGGCAATACTTCCAGAGAGGCATTTAAGAACATAGTAGCACGCATACGTGTCAAGTCACGAAATTTGGGTAGTGGGTTCATATGCTGGATACTATAGATTAACTGCCACCAAAGAGAAGAAGTCATAGAACATTTGATTGATTAAAAGTTTAAAACAATGGTAATGAAAAAGTTTATAGCTAATCATTAGTTTTATATATACCTTAAGAGTTTTGCATGAGAGGGTCATATCTCCAACGGTGGAAAAATTGTTGAGAAGATTATAGATGATATTTCTTTCCGATAAGGTATGACGCATTAGCTCAAAGTCGACATCGATATCAACCTTGACAGAGCCACTCATACTGATTATCTTCAAGAATCTTTTGAATTTGTAATCTATGAGACTCATATACTCAAGCCTCGGAGTATCAAACACAACTACATACCTAGAAAATGTAACACCTTCTAAGTACATAATCTTGAGATAAGGTAAGGAAAGAGACTCAAAATCAGTCAGCCTTGCAAAATGGAGCTTTAAGCATACCAAATTCTCACACACAGATTGGTTTAAGGGTATCTTAATGTTCCGAAATCCAAGCTTATTATCAACTTGCAAATGTTGGATCTTGTGCTTGATCACTCTACTTAAACACGGCTCGTAACGAGAAACATGATTTCCAGTGATTAACTTGAATTCACGTAAGTAGAATTCGATCTGGCAATTCAGAAACTTGTTGATGAAATCCACACAGGCTTTGTGATTCGGGAATTCAAACGTGTCTACTTCTAACCTCGGAACCCATTGCCAGAGAGTTCTCCATCTAGAGGACAAAACACTTGTCCAAACAGCTTCCCCAGTTGTAAGAAAGCTAAGTATATGACATAACAAAGATTCAGGTAATAAGCTTATCCTATCTTCTCCTCTGCTAATTCCTAGTTTCTTTTCAAGAAACCTAATTATGAGATGCAACCTGAAACTAATTTGATAAAAAAAGTGATACGATTATTACAAATTCTCAAAAGTAGATACACAAGATTGAGAACGTAAAGACGGATACGATCAAAGAGGAACTTACTGGTTTCTCGATTTTTTCAAATCCGACAAGCTGAGATCATTCATTTAGCCTCTATCTTCTGTTCCTGATGGTGTTATCGAGTAAATCGTCTCCCTATAATTTTAGGGTTTTTAAATTACCGTAAGTTGCTAGAGTGCAACACAAGTTATAGGTTTTCTCTAACAACAAGAGCAAAGCTTCTACATAAAAGCCCTAGTTACAAACATAGAAGATATATCATATCATGTAGTTGTGTTTGGTATTTTGAATAAAACTTTTTTAAGAAATATCAAACAAAAAAGCATAACTTTACGAAAAACTATGTTTTTGATTATAAACCAAAATTGGCCCAGTTATTTTAAAAACATAACTTTACGAAAGACTATGTTTTTGGTTATTAAGCCCAACAATATTCAGCCCAAAGTCAAACCCTTTTCTCGCAGATGCGATTATGCGAAGAAGAAAGTGTCCGCCACCTTTTCCCGCCAACTTTCTCTCTCTACCTCCCTCTTCTTCATCATCTTCATCTTCTTCTTCTTCTTTTTCTTCAATCTCTCTTCATTCTTCAGCCAGAACCCTAGCTTAGACCATCCATGGCTTCGACTCCAAGAGCAAAAACCTTCAAATCCCCAACCAAAACACCGACTAACATCTATCGCAAATCGTATCTATCACCATCTTCAACCTCACTCACTCCTCAAACCCCAGAAACTCTAACTCCTCTTCGTAGATCCGCTCGTCATGTTTCTCGAAAAATCGATCTGGGAAATGACCCAATCGATGTTCCAGGAAGAGAATCAATCGAAGAAATGAATCTAATTCGAAAACGAGAACGAGCGCCGAGAAAACCAACCACTGATGTTGTTCCAGAGAAGTCGACGAAATCAGAAACTCCGAAGAAGAAGAAGAAGATCGATTCGGAAGTTTCCTTCTCTCCTGTTTCTCCAATTCGATCTGAGACGATTAAGAAGACGATTAAGAAGAGAGTTTATTACAATAAAGTCGAATTCGATGAAACCGAATTCGAAATCGGTGATGATGTTTATCTTAAGAGAAGAGAAGACGCGAATTCAGATGAAGAAGAAGATCCAGAAATTGAAGATTGTCAGATTTGTTTCAAATCGGATACTAACATAATGATTGAGTGTGATGATTGTTTAGGTGGATTTCATTTGAAATGCTTGAAACCGCCGTTGAAGGAAGTTCCTGAAGGTGATTGGATCTGTCAATTTTGTGAGGTTAAAAAGTCAGGTCAAACAACACTTGTGGTTCCTAAGCCACCGGAAGGGAAGAAATTAGCGAGAACGATGAGGGAGAAGCTTCTTTCCGGTGATTTATGGGCGGCTCGAATCGAGAAGTTGTGGAAAGAAGTTGATGATGATGGTTGTGTGTATTGGATTAGAGCTCGTTGGTATATGATACCTGAAGAGACGGTTTCAGGGCGTCAACCGCATAATTTGAAGCGCGAGCTTTATTTGACGAATGATTTTGCTGATGTAGAGATGGAATGTATTCTTAGGCATTGTTTTGTCAAGTGTCCTAAGGAGTTTTCGAAGGCGAGTAATGATGGTGATGATGTGTTTTTGTGTGAGTATGAGTATGATGTGCATTGGCGTAGTTTTAAGCGTTTGGCCGAATTGGCTGATGGAGATTCGGATAGTGATCAAGAGTGGAATGGTAGGAAAGAGGAGGAGATTGATGATAGTGATGAAGAGATGGAGTTTGATGACGAAGAAAGTGTTCGTGGGGTTTCGAAGAGTAAGCGAGGATGTTTAACGAGTGCAAGAGGAGGTGCGAATTCTCGTAAAGGGCGTTTCTTTGGGCTTGAGAAGGTGGGAGCAAAGCGGATTCCTGAACATGTGAGATGTCATAAGCAGACTGAGTTAGAAAAGGCGAAAGCTACTTTGTTGTTGGCTACACGTCCTAAGTCTCTTCCTTGTAGAAGCAAAGAAATGGAAGAGATCACTGCATTTATAAAAGGTTCAATCTCGGATGATCAGTGTTTAGGAAGATGTATGTATATTCATGGTGTTCCCGGGACTGGGAAGACTATTAGTGTATTATCGGTTATGAAGAATCTAAAGGCTGAGGTTGAAGAGGGAAGCGTTAGCCCATATTGCTTTGTGGAGATCAATGGTCTCAAATTGGCTTCACCTGAGAACATTTACAGCGTTATCTATGAAGCGTTGAGTGGTCATCGAGTCAGTTGGAAGAAAGCTCTACAGTCTTTAAATGAGAGGTTTGCAGAAGGAAAAAGGATTGGTAAAGAAGATGAGAAGCCTTGCATACTTCTCATCGACGAACTTGATCTTCTAGTAACTAGAAACCAGTCGGTTTTATACAATATTCTGGATTGGCCTACCAAGCCTAACTCCAAATTGGTTGTGTTGGGAATAGCAAACACGATGGATCTTCCAGAGAAGCTGCTTCCTCGGATTTCAAGCCGAATGGGTATACAAAGATTGTGTTTCGGTCCTTATAACCACACTCAGCTACAAGAAATCATTTCTACAAGGTTGAAAGGAATCAATGCTTTTGAGAAGACAGCTATTGAATTTGCTTCGAGAAAAGTAGCTGCTATTTCAGGAGATGCAAGACGTGCGCTTGAGATATGCAGGCGAGCTGCAGAAGTAGCGGATTACCGTCTAAAGACTAACAAAACTGCAAAGAATCAGCTGGTAATTATGGCAGATGTTGAAACAGCTATTCAAGAGATGTTTCAGGCACCTCATATTCAAGTTATGAAGAGCGTATCGAAACTGAGTAAGATCTTCTTGACGGCTATGGTTCACGAGCTTTACAAAACAGGAATGGCAGAGACAACATTTGACCGAGTAGCAACGACAGTATCATCTATTTGCTTAACCAATGGAGAAGCTTTTCCAGGTTGGGACATTCTTCTCAAAATCGGTTGCGATCTTGGTGAATGTAGAATCATTCTCTGTGAACCTGGAGAGAAGCATAGATTGCAGAAGCTGCAGCTGAATTTTCCAAGTGATGATGTTGCTTTTGCATTGAAAGACAACAAGGATCTTCCATGGCTGGCCAATTACTTGTGAGTTTTTTCTGTTTATTGAATCATTTATCATCTCGACTTGTATCTGTTTCTGAAATGTGTCATGTATTCTTTGTTTGTTAAATTACATACAAAATTGTATTTTTTCGAAAGAGGATATTTATTTTTACGAACTATAGTGTTGAATGGTATATCATTGTATGCGTATATTTTTGGAAAATGTTTATTGTTAATGAAAGACTACCACTTCAAAAGTCTGATAATATATATAAATACAACTATGAATTTTATAAGAGCATCGTTGAGATTAACGAGAGAAGACTTTTGAGAGATAAAGAAACGTGAAAGGAGCATTTCAGATCCAACTTCTTCTTCTTCTCCTTCTTCTTATCTCGTTGTATAGGACCATGGATTCTGAGGGAGTGTCACTACGTACCCATCCACGCGCATCTTATGATGCCTTGGACTGATCTAAGGAGAGGTGATTGTTGTGGACGCTTGGAAGTTATCAGTGATGGTTACTATTGCAAAACCTGCGATTTTTTCGTTCACAAGAAATGTGGTGAGTTCTCAGAATATATCGAGCATCCATCTCACTCTAGTCATACTCTTCAGCTTGAAAGCTATCCAGTTTTTGATTGCAAGTTATGTGGAAGGAACAGAGATTGAAGGTACTTTGTTCAGAATCTCTTTTGTTGTGAGATTTGTGACTTCACGATGGATCTATATTGTGCCAAGTACCCACCACCAGAGGCTATTGACATTTCTGAGACACATCACCACAGGCTCACCCTTCTCAAGGAGGTAATCGAGTTCGAGTGTGATGCTAAATGTGGTATTGATGGTTATGGGTTTCCATACAAATTTCATGAATGTGATTTAGCTTTCCATGTGGATTGTGTATGGCACCCATCAAAGTTAAAATACCCGTTAGAGGTAAACCACTCTTCCCATTCCTTACACCTCTTAAGCTTCTCATGGGTAGATCACCCGAATATTCTGATGGAAAATGTCGTCTTTGCGGATTGAAGGTTGATGAATTCTTTTATCATTGTTCTTCTTGTAACTTCACCTTGGATATGCGTAGTGTTTTAAATCCACCACAACAATCTCTTTTGGATTTGATTCTTTTACATGTAATGCTTGTGGGCTGAAGGGAGATCGAAGCCCTTACAAATGTTGTCAATGTGATTTCATGATCCACAAAGACTGTCTAGCCCTGCCACGCCTCATAAACATTAATCGGCATGATCACCGTGTTTCTCGAACTTCTCTTGTTGGTGTTGTGAATTCTGTATGTGGAGTTTGCCACCAGAAGGTTGATTGGACATGGGGAGGTTATTCTTGTCAGCGGTGTCCTAGCTATATCGTTCATTCGAAATGTGCTACTAGAGAAGATGTGTGGAACGGGAAAGAACTCGAAGGAGTACTTGAAGAAACAGAAGATGTAGAACCGTATGTGGTAATAGATGAAAACACAATACAACATTTTAGCCACACAGAGCATTACCTAAGACTCCACGTTTATGGTGTTCTATGTGACGAAAACAAGCGGTGCAGCGCATGCACCCATCCCATCTGTCTCCAATCCTTCTACGGTTGTATGGATTGTGACTTCATTCTCCATCAAAACTGCGCTGGATTTCTTAGAAAGAAATGGCACGTGCTACACAATGAACGTCTTACATTAGTCACAAACGAAGCTGACTCCTTTTTTTGTGATGCTTGTTATAGAATCTCCAACGGTTTCAGGTACCAGAATGATGGTAGGAACTTTGATGTTCTGTGCACTTCAATTTCTGAGCCATTTATCCATCCAAGTCATCCCTATCATCCCTTATATTACAATTCAACAGAGGAAGACAAATTCTGCAATGGTTGTAACAGAGTGGAATATAGAATGCTCGGGTGCATTGAAAATGGTTGTAATTTTTTTATATGTTTTGGATGTGCCACTTTACCACAAGTGGTAAAGCATAGGGTGGACGATCATCCGCTATCACTATGCTATGGCGAAAAAGCAAGGGGTAAATACTGGTGTGACATCTGTGAAAAAGAAACCAATCCAGAGACATGGTTCTACACATGTAAAGATCACCGGGCTAGTTTGCATAAAGAGTGTGTACTCGGAGAGTTTTCAGGGCTCATGCCAGGAAGCACAGTAAAGGATTCAATCGGATCATATGAGGTCGTGCTTAATAATAGTGTGTTTCGCGCATTATGTAGGAAGTGTATGTTACATTGCATTGACTCACGTTGCATTTACCCTATTGTGCTGAAAATGCTTGGAACATTAGATACATACTATTGCTCTTTTTGGTGTACATAACTCGAAGGTGGCTAACGAGTGGAGATCTCTAATGCACGGAGTGATGATAAATCGTTAAAAGCCAATAAATGAATAAGTATGTTAAGCAAGATTTTGTTTTTCAGATTTCTGTACTAGCGAGTTCATTTCCATTATGAGTTAATTTCGTTAATGTACTATTTATTGTGCCTAACGTTTTCAGCCTTTCGTTTTCTATATAATCTCACCTTAAAAAGTAAAAACAAAGAACACAAAACACAATGCATAGATGAAGATGTATCCATCATGGAACAAGACTCAAAATGAAATAGCGATAAGCGAAGATTAAGATGTATCCAACTATGGAACAAGACTCATAACCAAAGGTTTGAAATTAAGTCTAGTGTAGTGTTTGTCCCACCAAAATCCAATTGTATCGCCTGTTTTGAATTGTCTTCTGTCAAGAATCGTACTCCAACCAAAGGAAACTGTTCGATTTCTAGTAAATCTGCTGGAAACGTTATTGTATCATCTGAACCTGTCAACGTTATTGGGATGCTCCATGTTTTGTTGTGATCCAACTTTGCCATTTTGTGTGTAATCAAGAGACACAAGAATCTGTACAAAAAAATTGGTTGTTATAATAAACTTTTGAAGGTTTATGTGAGGCTTGCTTATGTGTTAAAGACTATTTATAAGATTTTATGCACGGGTGATTGTAATTATGAATTCATGAATATCATCACTACAGTCATTATCATTTTTAATTTACAAGCATGATTGTCATTAGATTCACTTGATTCTGCAATAGTTACATATAATAATTTCTACAGTCATTTATCATTTTTGAATACTTTTACAGTCATTATTATGTTTTAAGATTATTATATCTGACTTAAAATTATTCAAACAAAATTGTTAATTTCAGAATTCATTTCTGCAATAGTAAGATATAATAATCTTAAATGATAATGAATTTGATTGACAAAAAAAAAATGATAATGAATTTAAGATTATTTCAAATCATGATTGTAAATTGAAAATGATAAAGAACTTAATGGAAATCATGAAAGAAAATTTTCAGCCACAAATTGAGAAGATAAAAATTCACTATCATTTTTAATTACTAATAGTTTAGTTCCGTTGAATTAAATTTAGAGGAAATTTATTAGCCTTAACCCAAGTCCAAAGAACTCTCTTTCTGAAACAGAGGATTATAGTCAAGCCATATATAAAGACATTTGTACCCCTCTTGACTCACTTTATAAATATCACTGCGTCTTCCTCATTTCTCGTCCCCACGACGGCTAGGGTTTTTTCAGAATCTGTGAACAAGTATTGTCTTACTTTTTTGGGAATCTTTGTGTGTTAGAGGGCTTATATGTAACAAGAAAAAGGGTTAAAAATTTAAATGCAATCTTGAATATTCCTTAACCTCTCATAGCTCTTCACATTTTCGTTTCTTTTTGTTTAAAATTTTGTATCCTTCTAATTTGTGTAATCTTATTATTTATTGGAGAAGGGAGAGAAGAAGAAAATGGGAAGAGAAAATGCCATTTTTAGAGAGCCTTCTCTTATATTAAAAAAAACAATGAAGGCACTTTCGAGGCAATCTCTGTTCTCAAGCTCATGAGCAGTCTTTGTTTCTTTAAACAATGCCTATATTATTTAATAATTCTATCAGTTTACTTTGAGTATTAATTAGTTTACTTTGATGATTAATTAATGAAAAAGATTCTGGAAACTCCTTAATAAAAATTAATGGAATTTGAGAAATGAAGATTTATGTAAAGGTTCTGTGTTAAGGATACTAGGTGAATACCCGCACGTAGTTTAATTGTTACGATTTTTTTAAAAAATTTACTTTTTTACGTAACATTATTTTATATAAATTATATTATGTGTTATGTTTGACAAAAAAAAAAAAGTAGTATGTTTTATATCATATATTGCATAGAATCAAAAATAGATACACGGAAAAATTTTTAAAATGCGAAAGCAATTTTTATCAAAAAATAAATTTAAAGCGGATACGTTTTGGAAGTGTTCATTATATGTATGTATTGAAGATATATTAGTAAAATTAAAATTAAAGATATATGTACGTTAATTTCTAATTTTAGAGTGATGATTTTTTTTTAATTTTGTTAGTTATATATTCTTGTGTTCAAAAAAAGATACTATTAATCTCCAGAGTGGGTTAATTTTTAACCTTTGATGAAAAACAAAGATTAAACAAAACAGAGCCAAAAAGATCATAACAGAGGGTAGGTGACTAAACAAAACTGAGCCAAAAAGAAACGTGGAGGAAGAGACTTCGCCTCCTTAAACCGCCGGAAACAGTATCACGATTCACGATTTTAACTTATGAAATCGTATGCTCCCGCAGCTTTTCCAATCGTAATTTTTTGGGAATCGCTTCCGATTCCGAAGCCAGAATCCTAACTTCGCCGTCGCTTCCATGATAGTATCAACTATAGCCGAATGCATTATATGTAAAATAGATATAACTTATAAAATTGTTCTAAAAGAAATCAAGCTATACCGGTCAAGTTAACAAACCAAAGGTTCAGAATCCGAAGCTCTTAACTAAAGGAGAAAATGTTAGTCATAATAATAGGAATACACCATAATTTCAAAAGAACCATGCATGGATTTAGATCACTTAGTTTCTACACATATATACGAAGCAGATACTAACAAAAGAGGTGGGGTGTTTAATTATATTCCAAAAGCACAAACTCTTTATAAACATTCATGGGAGCTTGCGTTTGAGAGTTTTGATCTCCTTCGTTTTCTCCAGTCCCCACGCATTTTAATGGGTGCCATGCTAGATCCTTGAGGGGTTTCTGCCATTTCGAGCAAAGCATGGCCTATTCCAACTCGACGTTTTCCCCACTCAATCTCTATTTGCATACTTTTAAGAAGTGCTTTTTATCAACTTCTCCCATCCTCTTTCCTCCGATCGTGGATCCATCAATCGATAAATCTCTTAGTCCCTGTAAAACCATATGTAAAACCCACAAAACATATATGAGCACACTAACATGAAACATAATTATAGCATACATGGAATAGGTCATAAGTACTTATATCTAAAAGTTCGGCCAGTTTTGTAACAAAACTTTTGTTAATAGACAGGAAGACAAAACTCCCATTGCAAGAAACCATTAAAATTTTTTGTGAAATGCTAGACATCCCTGATCCTAAGCTCTATAAGTCAAGTTTGTTTTACATTTTCATTTAGATTTTTCAAAGAAAACTGTTTTCAGTAAACCTTATCTTTTCAGATATTTTTTTCTTATTCATTTTTCTTAACCTTTAACTAAAAAAAGAAGAAGACATAATGCAAATGAGATTGGAGTACCCGCTCCAAAATCCATGACCATGATAAGCCTTTGATAGCTCCTTCTTGCTTGATCTATCCTTTAATCTTGAGAGACTACCACATAAATTCTTATGTGGAACACATCAACAAGTTTAACATAAATATAGTAATGCTCAATAGTCATACTCGAAACTCATGTATTTGATTACCCATTCTTTTCAATTATCTTTACCTTGGTCTGCTTTGCATAATCTTTTAGTTCAATTGAGTCTAACGGCGCTCTGCGATAAGCTCTTACACGAGACTGATCTTGAACAAGAGCTTGCATACACGTGGGTGTGACGGCTGCTTGTTTCCTAACTTGTTTGCCACGGAATTGCTTGACTTGGCACAACATCTTTTAATACTCTATACACCAATCCTGCCAAGGGAAAGAGAACAAATACCAAACTTTTAGATGCTAGAATCAGAGACAAAACAATGAACCATTTACAAGCAGACATGGATTAAATTTCTTTGTTTGAGGAAAACCTAAAAATCAACAAAGAGTTTATATACGGATCATTGAAGTTTATTACTTTTTAAAGAAAGTAAAACAACCATTGTAGCTTAAGAGTAAAGAGAAAAACAACAAACCATCGGGAAGAGCTTGGAAGAGAGCTGCAATGGCCGCGGTGAAAGGAACGTCCGCAGATCTGAGAGTTTGGAAGTTGTGTACTTGATTTGGTAGAGAAGTCTTACTTTTTTTCTTCCTTTTTGGACATAAGACATCCTCTACGTTTGATTTGGTCAAAGAAAACCTATGAGAAATGTTCTACGTTTCTGAAAGCTTATCAACTACAATCCACAGTGAACACAAATCAATCGTACACCAAATTTCATATAATTCCAATAAGAGAATAGAGCAAACTGCAAACGTAATACCTCGTTGATAGCTAACATATGTCCATTACTTATCTTTACCTTCTTCTGCATCCTTAAGAAGTACCTGAATCAAAACACATAGAAGAAAAATTCTTCAAACAACGATTTAGTTATGAGATTGATTTATAATAAAACTATACTAACCAGAACTTGGATTTGGTAAGAACCTCGTTCGTCTGTCCAGAGCTTCATCATGTAAATCTTCGGCTGCTCATTCTTCTCCGTCGGGAGAGCTCTTACGACGATTTCGTACTGGTGAAGCTGCAAGTAAAAAGCTCTTGACAGAATTGCTGAAATTAGATAATGGTAAACAACAATGCGCTAAATTGGAAGCAGTGGAAGTAAGAACTCCGGCTAGATTTAACGAGATTTTACCCTGAAAACACCCATTTTCGTTTTCGTCGATGATTGAATCCTCCAAAAGACGCAAACCCTCTCTTATTATACGAAACAAATTCGTCATTTGTTCACTTCTGTGCCAAGGATAAAAATGAGGAATCCAATTATCCACACATATATCAAGTTGCCAGCGCTAAATATATGAAGAATAAGAGGAAATCGACTAACCTGTGAGTCAAATTTCATGGAGGCATATTGCAGTCAAAGCTATTGCAAGATTTATGCATATGCTTACTTGATTATCCACTTCGATTACACTGAGTGGAAAAAAATTTCGGAGAGGGAGTTGTATGGTTGTTAAGAGTTATGATTTGATGTATTTGCTTGTAGAGACAATCGTTAAGATGCTGAACCTAATAACCCTAAGAATGAAGTGGAAACTGAAAAAACAACGAAACGGACCAAGTTACAGAACTCTGAGCGTCACTTTTTGTGAGCCACGTGGCATTCTCCTGTTTGCTGATGTGTCACTCTACAGGAGAGAGTTAAGCTTCTTTCATATATATGATTTGTATGTATAACATAACACGATATAAGTTGTGTTGCACGGTCATTGTAATTTACTAGTTTAGGACTATAAAGAGATACGATTTTCTTCATGAATGTCATTACTTCAATAGATTCTCTACTAATTGAACCCTTCCTATTCAACAAAAACAGAGTAATTGTTGATCCTCAAAATCACACAAGTACGTATTCGGAGTCTTAAGGGTGAAAGAAGAATCTCTTATTTTAAAGAACGAGCCGACAATTACAAAAATAGACGAGCTAAAAACTTAGAGTACGAGCCGAGCCGCAAAGTGCTATGACGGTTGTATGATATTCTCTGTAAAAGCGGTTATTCGGGATCCCTGTACAATCATTCTTTTTTGCCATTTATAGGGTGCGGAAGTAGGGTACACTGTTCGTGCGAAATGTCCTTTCTGCCCTTTGGTCGGTGGAAAATTGGGTCTGGGCCTTCCTTTGGCTTCTGCTAAGCCACAGGGGAGCGTGGGCCCGTTGAAGGGTTTAGGCCCGTTAAGGGGTTTGGGTCCGAGCCCAAAACCCACCATCAACAGTAGCCCCCCAACCCTAGTGCGTAGTGATGACGCGGCTAGGGTTGCAATCATTTCGCCGTTATCGTTTCGACTTCTTTCGCGTATTCTCGAGGCGCGTGTGATGGACGCCCTCTTCTGATTCGTCCATTGCCGCTCCCGAGGCATTGAAAAACGGGTCGTTCGCGTGTTGTAGGCGGCGAAGGTGTGATGATTACGCCATTCTTCGAGGCGCAATGATAACGCGGTTTTTCTTCGACCGACTCCCTCTATAAATACTCTCCCCCTTCTCATTTCTCTCATTTTTCCTCCGCACCAACAAAAGGTATTTTTCTCCGTTCTCTCTCTTCTTTTCTTCCATTCGTCGTTTTCCTTTTCCGATAATGTCTTCTAGTTCCGGTTCCTGGGATTCTTTCTCCGATCACCGTCAGTCTCGTACTACCGAGGACTCCGCTGTCCAATCTGTCGACCGTTTTCTGAACGAGTCGCCTGATAGTCGTCGCGGTCGAAGATCTAGATCTGCCAGTACGTCGGCGTCGTCTGTTGTGAGGAGTTCGGCATATGCTGCGGAGTTGCACCGTCGCGAGCTCTTATGTCGAACAGGGGATGCCGGGCCGAGCGCCACTACCAGACCTGTCACGACTATGTATCTTCGTGACGAGGATAGCAACGCGGCGTTTTCGGACGAAGACGACGTCCCATTAATTAGACGAAAGACTGCTTTAGCTAGAGCGGGCCCATCTGGCGGTGTGGCGTCTACGATTCCAGTTCGCCTGGATAACGTTCCCGTTCAACCAAGGGGTCCGGCGCCTGGTGTTGCGGATTATCTTCGCCCGTCGTCTTCGACGGAGGAATCGATCGAGCTTTCGCTCAGCTTCTGTGACGCCCCGGCTAATCTCGTCACGATGGTTCCAAGTGCTTCGGATCGACCTTGGACGGCTCTACCGGGTTATCTCTGCATCTACAAGAAGCATATCACCGATTGTGGGCTGACCTTCCCGATCCCTGCCTTCCTCTTACAGTACGCTTCGCGGCGACAGATGGCTTTTGCGCAACTATCCCCTGCTGCAATTCGAAACACCTACGGTCTGATCCGTCTAGCGGAGAGGTGCGGCGTCGAGCCTCGTTGTTCTTTGTAAGAGGAGTTGACGACAAAGAAGAATTTTGGGAAATCCAAGCCCGGCCTGGTGTATACCCAGTCTTCGCTGACCCCAAAGTTGGTCGTCGGTGCGAAGAGCAAGACCAACGATTGGCTTCGTTGATATTTCTTTGTTAAAGTTAATAATGAGTCCGCCGGGGACGTAGTGGTTACGAACTACCATGGGTGGACTGTTTCACCCGGTAGTTTGCTTATCCCTCCAAGGTCGATCCTTTATCGTCTGATTATTTTTCTAACTTGTTTTTCTTGTTTCTTTTCTTTTGTAGTTCGTTATCCCAAGATTTTCGATCCGTACCCTGAGAAGCTTCGCGACGACGTTCAGAAGATTCTAGCTGTGTGCCCGTATACTTGGCCCGGAGAAGAAGATCCTGTTCGTCGCCCTTCTTCAAAACCAAAAGGAAAGAGCCGAAGAGGAGGTTCTTTGAAAACAAAGAAGACTATCAAGAATCCAGGTTGGCTTCAATCCTTCCCTTAACTCCACTTTTTGGACGAGCGCGTATATTTATTTATATTCTTCGCAGCTCCTTTAAAGATTATGGGGAAGCTGAACGTTGACGCGGTGGGTGACTACTCGTCAAGATACAAGAAGAAGTCTGCTACGACGCCGGCGAAGATGTCTCGAGAAGAGGATGAGGCTATGGCCTTGGGGCAGCATCTTTCCTTAGCGGAATACGAGGCTAAGGAGAGGGAACGATGACCTTCAGGTCGTCAGGATAGGAAAGAAGATGACCGTCGTGATCGACACGGTCATGGTGTTGGCGGAGCCGATCGTTTGGACGTAAGATCCGACGTGGAGAGGGAGAGAAGGGAGAAGGAGGTGGCTGAGGCGCGGTCGGCTAAACTACCTATTGCCGAGACTTCTCAAGACGTGCCCTTAGGTGGCAGGGAGGTCGTTCTGTACGACGATCTTCAGGTTGAGCCGACCAGAAAGCGGGCTGCGGACGAGTCCGAGACGGTGCGTTCGGACCCGACCAAGAAACAAAGGACGGCCTGGGCCCCTGACTATAGGTGGCGTTGTGATTATAACGGGCGCGATGTTCATATCTCGACTGATTCCACATCCTGTGCGGAGCTGTTCCGCAAGCTTCACGTCGGTCCATCTCCTTTCTTCGAGCTCCAAGATATGTGGGAGAGAACGGCGTTCACTGACGCCGCGAAGAAGACCGTTGCGGTAATGCCTTAAGAACTTTACGCAATACTCTGTTGTTAAGTGTTTTGCTTTCTGACCGAGCTCTTACTTCTCTCTGTAAGCCATTGGCGCGATTGACAGGATGTCGTATATGTACGAGCGTCGCCTCCGCGTTGTTTCTGAGCAGAACACGGCCTCGAAGGATCACCAAAGGGCCTTGGCGGCCGAGACGAAGAGGGCCGATCAGGCGTCGAAGGGCCTGGAGAGTGCTAACTCAGAGGTGCAGCTTCTTCGCGAGGAGGTCGCCAAACTGAAGGAGGAACGTGATAACGCTCTTTCAGAACGGGAGCGTTGTCTTGAAGAGTTCTCAAAGTCCCGAGTTAACTTTAAGCACTTGGCCGAGCAATCACAAGCCGAGGAGGCAAGGCTTCGGGAGCGGCGCACCGAATACGCTCGTATTCACGTAACCAAGGCTCTCAAGGAGGCTGCCGACCAATTTCAGCAACGTCTCGACGGGATTCAGAGGCATTTCGCTACTAGGGACGCGGCGTATCCCAAGTTCCTCGATTATAATCAGGCGGTCGGGAGCGTTGCCCTATTGAAGACGCTGGCTGAAACTGGGGAGGTCGTCTTGAACTCCAAGGACGTGATCGAGAGGCTTGAAGCTGATGCGGAAGAGCTTAAGAATGAAGTCAATGCGTTCGACATTGCCGAGCTAGAGGAAGGCTGGAATGATGTCGGAAATCTCTTCATGGGACCTCTCGTCGTTGAGGAGTTTGCGCCTTTGGTTGAAGGTGTTAATGATGAAGTTGCTGTTGACGTCGAGGCCGTCGACCAAGTCGTTGGTGATGGTGACGTCCAGGTCGGGGATCCTCCTCAAGACGAGGCCGCGCCTTGAGATTCTTTGTTTATGTTTTTTTTTTAAGTTATTTGCCGCGTAGTCGTCTTTTGTAAGACTCTTGCCACTTCTGTTGGCTTTTCTTTTATTGACTATTTTATCGCTTTATTCTTGTGCGTATATTATCGAGGTCGTTTCGCGCAAGTTATTGAGGACGACCTCAATAACTTGGTCGATAATCGTGTTTGGGTTGGGTCCAAGACACTCGGTGGTACGACCTTCTAGGTCGTTCCGTGCAAGTTATTGGGGACGACCTCAATAACTTGGTCGATAATCGTGTTTGGGTTGGACCCAGAACAATTTTAGGTGCGACCTCCGGGGTCGGCTTATCCTGTTCGAATGATTAAAACGAGCGTGATTGCGATTTCGACCTCGGCTTTTGTGATCAGTCGTTTTAATCATGCGAGTACGGAACTCGGCTTTCATTCGATTAGACACCGGGCCAGGGTGCTAACGTAATTCGTTTCGTTTCTGTCTTTAAAAAGATAGATTTTATTAATATTTGCAGCTGTGCCTCGTAAACGAGGCTGCCTACGTACCCTCTGATCGGAGGGATCAAGCTGCTTGTAGTTCACATTACATAGTGAGGCGTCGGTAAGGCCGAGTTTCAGATGCATCGAATTCCATGTGCGGGGGACTTCGACGCTGGACATTGTGAGGAGTTCGTAGTCTCCGGGTCGGACGATCTTCGATATCTGATAGGGACCTTCCCAATTTGCGCCGAGCTTCCCGGCGTTGAGTTCGGCCGTGTTTTCGAACACTTTTTTGAGGATGAGGTCACCTTCGCTAAAATGCCGATTATGGACTTTCTTGTTGTAGTATTTCGCTGCGGCGAGTTGTTCGGTGGCGCTACGTGGGGTCATTCTGTATGACCACAGGACGCCGTCGAGTTCGTCTGTCCAATCTCCTTTTTTGGCTTCTAGCCGTTTCTTGAGTCTGGCGAGGATTGTTTTGTTTGTTGCCTCAGCCTGGCCGTTGCCTTGGGGGTAACGCGGCGTCGATTTGTTCAGGCGAATTCTCCAGCTAGCACAGAAATCTTCAAACTGTAGCGAAATAAACTACGAGCCGTTGTCCGTGATAATTTTGTACGGTAGGCCGTGCCGACAAATGATATATTTCCAAACGAATTCTTGTACGTCTTTGGCTTTGATCGTTGCATAGGATTCA